GCGTCCTCGGCGCTCGAGATCTGCGCCACAAAAAGGTGTACACGTGTCGTTCCCGCCAACAGGAGCCGGAAAGCGGAACAGGAGGCTGCGGCGGCACATCCACCAGCCTGGATGGTAACGGTGGTGGTGGCGGTTACACCGGCAGCGGCGGCGGCACTGCCGCCGGAGGCAGCGGTCCAGGCACGACCAACGCCACCGTCAGCGGCGGAGCCGGCGGCGGCGGGCCGGCCGCTGCCGCGGGAAGCGGCAACGTCGCCACCGGCGGTGCGGTTCCGACCGGCGGCGGTACCCTGTGTCACCCCGGACTGGGCCAGGTCGGCGTTGTGACCGGCTCGATACCATGTCCGTCCGATTTCCCGGATACCAAGGACATCGTCATCGAGGAGCTGTGTCCGGTATGCGGTGACAAGGTGTCCGGCTATCACTACGGTTTACTCACGTGTGAGTCCTGCAAAGGATTCTTCAAGCGCACCGTCCAGAACAAGAAGGTCTACACGTGCGTCGCCGAGAGGTCCTGTCACATCGACAAGACGCAACGGAAACGGTGTCCGTATTGTCGTTTTCAAAAGTGCCTCGAAGTCGGCATGAAGCTCGAAGGTGAGTCCCCTTTTATTGTGCTTCTCGTGCTAATTGATTATTACGGATATAGTTGAGCGAACTATCGCGAGCAAAACGAAATAACGCAAAGATAATTGCGTTTAAAGCTCTTTTTTCGATGTTTCGTCTTATGAGAGAGCAAAACGTCGACAAATATTCCGTTTGCGTTTGCTATTTACTTGTTCGCTCAGCATATATCCATTTTTCAACGTGGAAATGCGAACCGATGTGTAAAACGTCGAAGAAATAATTTCGAATAAGCTGAACGAAAACTCTGGTCAAAAGTATACGTAATTGTCTTGTAAAGATTATGAAAAGGAAAAAAGATAACGATAAAGCGATGTAACTAGGAGTACACGCAATAAAAAAATGATTTGTATGCTTAAAAGTCAATATGAGAGATGTCTGTAGTCTTTACATAGCGTTTTGCATTTCTACTATGCTATTGATAAGCATCGTTTGTAATCATATGCAACATACGTTATTTCTGAAACAGTTATAGCTCATCTATGTGAAATTTATTCAACGTAATAGAACGGGACCGTAATCAGAATTATTGCAAAAATATGTACGAGTGTATACGGTTGAAAAGCAATTTTTTCAGATAAATTCGAACGTAATAAACGCGAGAGAAAAGAAAAAAATGTTTTTTCGAGTTGCGGAACAATTTAGATTTTAATGACAAAAGAGATGCTGGATTGAAAGGTTTATTCAAGAATTTATGTATCTTAACATAAATGAATAGCGATCATTAATTATAATATCAATATGTTTCAAAATATATTTCATCATATAGAATTGACAAATACCTGGATATAAACAAAAAGTAAAAATTTGATTTATTAAATCGCATAAGAAGGGAGATTTGTAATTCATTATACAGATAATCTGTAAATTTTATCTGTAAATTTTATCGTAAATTTTATCGAAATATCTGATAAACAATAATATTTATATATACAGTTGAAGAAATTTAGGATCAATGCTAAAAATATACTTTTCATATTACTATAATTTCCATGTGTTTATATTACTTGTAACAAAAGAATGTACTACAAAAGAACGATAACGTTGATTCCGATCAGTAAATTATACGATGAAGGTCGTGTGAATCGCGATATTCGATAACAGGCCAGCAGTAAACGTAACATCGCCGAACCGCGATCTCACAGAAAGTTGGTGTTGAAAATCGAAGAGTCACATTGTGCATAGAGAATTTTAAATGTAAATCTACGTGTATAAATTTCGCATTAAATCCACATCTATCTTCGCGCCACAACTACAGTTTTATATGGAACATTCAGGTCGCAAGTCTTTTTCCTGTCTTTATAAAAAGAAACCGCATCGTGTATATGAATATCCAATTCCACGGCGAGTACGTAATCGCGCGTAATTTATCGATCGCATCGTGCAACGCGTCGCGTCACGTCACGTCACGTCATTTTAATAATCTCTTCTCTTTTGCTTTCACCAGACGCGAGCGACGTTTTCCCGCCAATAGCGGGGATCCGATGTCACGCCGGCGTTATTCGATCAACGAGCTTTATGTTATTTCTCGTTGGATATCTCCGCGCGAATGCGCGGCCGTCGCACGTCAAAAACCGTTCGGTTGTCGTCGTCTCGTCGTCGTAGCCGTCGGCCGCGTTCGGTCCTCGTCAGCGCGACGCTCGGGCATTTCCGCACCACGCTCGTACGAACTTAACCTTATTACATACCGTGGAAGTGATTAACCGAGTCTCTCACCGCGTGCTCCCTTTCGCCGTTTTAAAACTCGGGAACTCGCGCGCTCGACGGCGAGCGATGGCACGTATCTCTTATAGCCGCGAATCGATCGCGCGCGCGCGCACGCGCCCGCGCTCGTCCGCGCCCGCGTCCGCGCCTCTTCCTCGCGGCATTCGAGTCGGAGCGCGGAGAAGCGGTCGTTACTACACGCCGGACACAAACGAAATTACGTCACTCGGCACGGCACTAGTAACACAATTACGCGCCATTATCTACGCGCTTACGTTCGCGCTTACTCCGTTTAAACTTCTGCGTCAACAATTTCTTTTTAATTAGCTAGCAGACGGCTTTATAAACTTTGGTAACATTATAGACGATATGGAAATACATAAATTATGCCGCGGTAATTTTTTACTTACGCGAGAAAATTGTCGCGAAGACCTCCTTTTTGCCAGTCGAATTGATAATTTAATTACGAGTCTGTTGAGGCCACTCTTGATGTAATAATTTCCTCATTTCTAATTATCTGAGTACAAGATGATGAATCGGAGAAACTTTTAACAGCAGAACATCGGTTACATGCGCACCTTGCGCACGCGCGCGCTCAACGTATAATACAATTAAATTGTATCAAGTTATAAACAGGTCGGTTCGATCGATGCTCCAATTTCGGCGCTTCGCGCCCCGCTTCGCGATTGCGTCGCATTCATCAAAACGCTTGGCTTGAAAAACGCCGCTGAGAAACAGAGAGTTTGGTCGTAGCATCTAATGCAATCCGAGTAACTGGGTCTAGGCCCTCAAGGCCCAACGATTAAGCGAATCTCGAAACAGCGTCTGTCGCAATTGCCGCCTTTGCACACCGTTTTCCATGGCGCGTTCCTACGACGGCAAGACGGGGGAGATTGCTTAACGCGGAAAGTTTCCAGAGTGCTTGCGAGTGTTTACGAAAGGAAGGGAGGGAGGGGGGGATTTTCTTTTACCTGCGTTACGTCTCTTATCGTATTTATGAAGAAAGAGAAGAAAATTTCACGCCGACGAAAATCGCGACGGAAAATGCGCATAAAATGCGCTTGGACGATATGCGCGCGCGGAAAAACGGGGACAGCGCGGCCACGCCTATCTGCGAAAA